AAGAGGTAGAATAGAAGAAAAATATATAAAGAGTATTTTGCGAATTGAACAGAGAGAGAGAAAGATTGAGAGAGAGAGAAAGGCAAGTACTCTGCTGCATGTTTCGTGCGTTATGTATGTAATATCGACGTCAAAAATAGTCAATCTTGTTCCATTTCCAATGAATGCCCGCGGATGACCTTTGATGCGTGTACGCGTACGTACGCTTCGAGAATTGTGATATGTGTTCCGCTTACACGCATATATGAGATATTCAATAAAACGCCAATATTGTGAAAAAAAAGTCTGCAACATCAATTTCTTACCATTAAATATATTTCCACATTATATTTCCACGTTCTAATATATTTTAGTACATTTGTTCGATTTTAAATAGTCAGTCAACATAGGCGTAAAGAACACTAATTGCTAATAACATAAGCATAACATAAGTAACCTTGAAGTGATCTTGAAGTCATCTTTGATGAGATCTTGTCGTCATTTTGAAATATTCTTGAAGTAATCTTGAAGTTATCTTCAAGTAACTTTGAAATCGCTTTACAAATTACATTCACCAAAGTGGCCGATAATTTTTAAGTGAACTTATAATGATTACAGTAATCACACCTTAAATTCTTCCATTATAAATGGCTGTAGTAAGATTCGTGCTGTACCATGTCTCTCTGAACATCATGAACAGTCGCACAGCCTGCAAATTGATCGATAAGATTTATAATATTATGTTTTATCGAAATGATATTGTATATGCGCGTCTATGAACACACCTGTTAGTGCAAATGCCAAATCAATTTCCTTCCTAAAAATTTCGAGAACTTGCCTAGCACCCTTCTCACCATCATAAGACAGACCCCATAACATAGGTCTGCCAACAAATACCTATAAAGTACATAGAAATATATTCATTTTAATATATTCAATTTAAACTAGCAATTATAATGATTTAAAATATGTTTACCATTTTTGCGCCCAAAGCAAGCGCTTTTAAAACGTCAATTCCTTGCCTCACACCTCCATCCATGTAAACTTCTAATCTACCATTTACAGCTTTTACTATTTCCGACAATGCCTCAATCTACGAATGATGTTATTTTTATTATTTTTCAATTAACTATTTTCCAATTATTTGTCGACAGTATATATAAAGAAAACAGCTTTCTAAATAACGAACCGTTGCGGGAATACCGTCAACTTGTCTAGCACCGTGATTCGAAACAATGATCGCTTCCGCTTTATTCTCAATTGCTAAGAGCGCATCTTGTGGTGTTAAAATTCCTTTCAAAACGAGCGGCATATTTGTAATACTGTAAAAAATAACCGACTGAGTACCCTTTTCAATACAAAACAGTTTTGAACCACGGAATTCTGTACTAACCTTTTGAGCCACTTGATATCCTCCCAAGATAAAGAGGCATCGAACAAATTTGTGACGTATTCACTGAGTCCAGAACCAGAATTCGCATTATTTATTTTACTCGATAATTCTCCCTGAAAATTACCTAATCTGGAAATATTTATTTGTTATGTATTTATATATATTTTCATACAGATGGCAGCATCATCTTATCGTTACGAATAAATAGTATATCTCAATATATTCGGTACATACATATGTATATCGAAAGTGCCTTAAAGAGAGTCTATCTTTATATGTATCAATTTTTGATTTAATACAATATGACAAGTACCTCAAATGATTTGGAAGACTGAATTTGTTCCTAATATCAGATCGTCTGTCACCGAACAATGGTGCATCAACGGTAAGAACGAGAGCTTTAAAACCAGCACGTTCTGCTCGTTTGACTAAATTTAGGGTAACATTACGATCGTTATATATGTACAGCTGGAACCATTTTATTCCTTTTGGTGCCGCTTCGGCCACTTCTTCAATGCTACTTGTTGATATCGTTGAAAGCGTGTAAATTGTACCTGCTTCTTGGGCAGCTAGAAATGAAAATTTTCATTCAGCTTTATTTTTCAGACGTACATCGTTTGCAACTGAAAAATTACTTTAATATTTTACCAAGTTTCACAAATTTTCTTTTACTCAAAATCGTTTTTCAAAAGTACAACTACTTTTGCAGACATTGAACATCGATTTAATTCTTCGTAAGTTAGATATCATTTAAAAATTAAGTAATAATAAATAGACTTTTATAAGGTGAGCAACACGTAATAAATGCAATGAAGCGCTATTTAAAAAATCAATAACTACTAAGTAGCAGCGGAAGCTACGAATAATTAGTACTGAAATAGTTACGTCAAAGCTACAGAAGTGCAACCTACTGGAAGATGCATTTTTAACATATCGAATGCAACCAGTCATCGAGAACCACTTCGATCTCAGAGGATCGATCCTCAGTCGACGCGTGGCAACCGTGTCTGCTCCATGTATTTTATCGCTACAATTTACCGAAGGTTTCATATCGAAGATAGTAGCTGATAAGCTATACGAATTGTATACCCATGAGGTTAGTTTCGTGTAGCTAGTTCGCTAAGCCGGTGGCTTGTTAGCGGGTTTTCGCAAGTATCATCGCGCGACATGAGTGTATCACGATGATGAGAAGAAATGTAGTTAGCCTGATAAAGTTCTTCCTTCTGGCGGCTTTTACTGTTTTCCTGACCGTTGTTGTGTTTCGCTACGTACGAACATCGCCTAACCATGAAATTGTGGCACCGGTTGGCGACACCATGAAATTGCGACTTGCCGCATTGGTGGCTACCGAGGGTGACAGTTTAAAAAATTTGATCGATCCCAGACAGAATTTCAACGACCATCTTTATCAGGTACGGGTTAAAGACCTGCTCATTATTGGCGAGGTTGGCGCAAGTGAAACAGGTTTAGCGATAGCTTAACCTTCTGCATTCCACACACGCACCAGTACCGTATGGTTGCTTTTGCGAACCCCAATGCAAATGATATTATTTAGCGTTAGGATCGAATTTGTTGCTTTTTACATTAAAATGAAGATAGACTATGGTGTAACTTTTAAACAACATTTTTAACAGGATTTTGATGAGAAAATAGATTGGCATGATTATAAGAAAATTGAAGAGGAAGCAAAAAGAACTGGGACAGGGGAACATGGAAAGCCAGCATTTCTTTCACGGTCTCTTGATGCATTGAAGGAAAAGTTATATCAGGTAAATGGTTTTAATGCTGCTCTCAGCGATGAAATCTCAATGAATCGTTCAGTACCTGACATTAGGCATCCAGGTTGTAAGAAAAAGAAGTACTTAAGAAATCTTGATCCAGTCTCTGTGATAGTTTCCTTCCATAATGAACACTTTAGCACTTTAATGCGTACTTGTTGGAGTGTTATTAACCGCTCACCACTATCACTTCTTGAAGAAATAATATTAGTTGATGATGCTAGCACTAAGACAGAATTGCAGAAGCCTCTAGATGAATATATTGCAAAACACTTGCCAAAAGTGAAAATTGTAAGACTACCAGAACGTTCTGGGCTAATTAAAGGTCGATTAGCTGGAGCAAAAATTGCAAAAGCAAAAGTACTTGTATTCTTAGATTCTCATAGTGAGGCAAATGCTAATTGGTTGCCACCTTTACTAGAACCTATTGCACAAAACTACAAAACTTGTGTATGTCCTCTCATTGATGTGATAGCTTATGAGACATTTGAGTACAGAGCTCAAGATGAGGGTGCTAGAGGAGCTTTTGACTGGGAACTGTATTATAAACGGTTGCCATTGTTACCTGAAGATCTTCAAAATCCAACAGAACCATTTAAAAGTCCAGTAATGGCTGGTGGTCTTTTTGCCATCAGTGCTAAATTCTTCTGGGAGTTAGGTGGATATGATACACAACTGGATATATGGGGAGGTGAACAGTATGAGCTATCATTCAAAATTTGGCAGTGTGGAGGCCAAATGTATGATGCCCCTTGTTCAAGAGTAGGCCATATTTATCGTAAATTCCCACCTTTCCCCAATCCAGGCAAAGGAGACTTTTTAGGAAAGAATTATAAAAGAGTGGCAGAAGTATGGATGGATGAATATGCAGAATATATCTATAAAAGGCGTCCACATTTGAGATCACTGGATCCTGGAAACTTGAAAGAACAAAAAGATTTGAGAACTAAACTACATTGTAAACCATTCAAGTGGTTCATGGAGAATATAGCTTTTGATCTCGTCGATGTATACCCTCCCATTGAACCCGACGACTTTGCGTTTGGAGAAATTCGTAACATGGGTGTACCAGAGCTATGTCTCGACTCAAAGAAACGAAAAAAAGACGAGCTTGTTGTAGTTGATCTTTGCATAAAGGACAATCCTAAAATTGTAGGAGAACAAGAGTTCAGACTGACTTGGCATAAAGACATTAGACCAAAGGATCGTACAGAATGCTTAGATGTTTCTAGAGGAGATTCAAAAGCTCCAGTTACCTTATATCCTTGTCACGGGGGCCAGGGAAATCAATTGTGGCGTTATAACGTTGAAAAACAATGGTTGATGCACGGCTACACGTTAAGATGCCTGGACACAAGTCCCGCCAGCAAAAAAGTATTTGTAACCAATTGTGATTCGTCTTCTGCTACGCAAAAGTGGAGAATCGAGAAAGTGAATATGAAAGCTATAAATAACTGGGATAACGTGGGACCCAAACGACATTAACTCCACCGCCTTTTATTGCCGCAATTCTTTTAGTTTTTAAGGGTCTAATTTCTAGTTGCGTGTACATAAACGTACATTCGACATTCATTGACTAGTCATCTAAAACCGTAATCTCAGAGTTCATTTTTTTCTCTGTCGGAATACGTTAGAAAAAAAAACGTATTTTGAGATCATGAGCTTATTTTACACCTTGCAATAAAATGTACTTCGTTTTTTTTTTTAGTAATACTTACAGTATTCCTATGGTAACATTTTTTAACGCATTTGTATCGATGTAAATATTGTACGAACCCTCTGTTGTGCCTTAAACGTATAACTGCATTTAGAACTATATATATTATAATTACCAATAATTAATTTACAAAGTAAATTTTAGCTTCTATGCTCAATTTTTACCTAATACAGGACGTTTTTTTATTAATACGTATGTATAGTTAAGGATTACATAAGAACTGATCGACACACAAAGTTTCTTTATTGCCAAATTTTTAAGACAGTTAATTAAGTTTCTTTGACTGAATTGCAAACGATGTACTCTTATAATGTACAATCGAACGCGGAAAGAATAAATTGTTCCTTGTACAATTGGTTAAGTAAACGATTATTCATGTACAAGTGTTTCATTTACAATTGAAACATGGTTGAACAATAGTAATAATTTTCAAACGAAACAAACGACAATGTCTGCGAACATATCATCTTATTGCGTGTACCATGAATAATTAACAATTCAAAAACATTTTTATACAGTTCAATGCAGTTTTTTATGTATATTTGTACGTAAGGAGAAACTGACAATTTAGTTTCTGTACAGATTGGAATAAATTAAAGGAAAAATGTTATCTATTTTATAAAAAAAAGGAAACAAAAACCATGTACTTGTTTATTCAACTTCTCTGTGTTCTACGTTGTAACAAACTTACGAACGTAAACAAGTCCAACTGTGATCGTCGTCGATTAATCGATCGCAGCACGTGTTTGCAACTATTTTTGTAAAATACTTGCATAAGTCAATAAAAGCATTTTTATTAAATCTACATTACGAGATATAATAAATGTGATTGATGTTCAAAGACCAAGTATAAAATAAATGAAAGTACAAAACATGTAATATTACAAAAAAAAAAAAAAAATTAAATGAAGTAAACTTACCTCTGGCGTTTCCACATTCGCCATCCGGATGTGCCATGCGTTGCATAGCCGCTGGTGCAACGGCCAATGGCATTGAGATTTTCTCTCCTAAAATCGTGGTAGTCAAGTCTCTTCTGGAAACATTCCTTAAGAATCTGGGCCTTATCCTGTATCTGCAAAACAAAAATTTCCCATTAAACAAAAGAACAATTTCTTTTCGAAGTTTTTTGCGTCATGTCGAATGTAAGTTCTGGACATCAATAATAACTTTTAATGTTTTGTATTTAATGTATGTCTCTTACTTTATTCAAAAACGTTCAATTTTTTTTTTGCAAACTCTTCTTTTTAATACCTACTTTTTAAAAGCCTCCGTGTTCAGTCTTAAACTAAATTGTTCACCAGCTCCAGAATTATAATAATCCCTTACGGAGGGTGTTAAGTGCGTAGAAGCATACTTCTCGAAGTCCTCTACGCATATCATTTGTTGAGCCATGGTGTCTGAGAGGACAAATGGAAATTTAATTTCAAATAACCAATCGATTCGATTTATATCATATTTGTTGAATATAATGTAAAAAATTAATTACTGGTTCAACGAAAGTAAATACTGTAGTATATTAATAAATAAATAACGACACTCGCGCAGAACTGGCACGTAAATTATCCAAAAGGTGAATAACAACCGGAGAAAACGTTCGATTCAAAGAAACGTCACAACACTTCACAGTGAACGTAACACTCGATCTCTCTACTCTCGAACGGTTGCTCCGCGAATCGATTGATTTCCTAGCGAGGAAAACATACGATTAAACCGATTCGGTGGTCCCGGCCAGTTGGACTTACAACTAGTGACTGAAAGCAATGCGAAATCGTTGAAGATAACCCCTAGAGTTAACGTGTTCACAATATTACTGATAAAACAGTTTGCTTTATTTAACTACGATGTATTGACTTTGTTTATCTTCATAGAATTAATGAAAGAGAGTCGGTATGTTTCGCTACTTTCCGGAAGATGAATAGCTCTTTGTGCTCCGCAATCTTTAGAACCCGTAATTATACAAATATTATCGAGCAAGTATGCCCATCGTTAGGTATTGCGATTACACAACAGGGAGATCATATTTCGTAAACAATGATCGTATTTCTTCGAGAATTCTTTGGGGCTTGTGTTTCATGAGGAATTTGTGCAAAAAAGTAGTCGAAAGCGGAGAAAAAGTTTGTTTGTGGATTCGTGAAACTTACATAACGGGTGATCGACGATAAAGGTGTAAGTGTCAGTGTGAATGTCGTCCATTCACATGATCGAAAATTCGATCCGCGTGACTCTCGTCTCTCACAACTTTAGTATGTTTTTAAACAATACGCGCATTTTTGATAATATCGTCTACCGATTAGATGAGAAATTGTCACGTAAAAGCGAACACAACATCGAATTGTTGAGTCATAGAACACTTGTCGATATTATTACTAATATTGTACTCGTGTTACAGCTAGCATCCTTGATCCGATCAATAGTTCATAAATCCGTAGTTATCGTACAATTACAATTCGTTATCGGAACAATTACACAACTTGAAACTTTGGATTCTAGTTGAACGACCACAAATTTCACGGATGACGGAATAAATATTCAATATTGATAAAACCACTTCAGCAATTTCTCAGCCGAATAATATTTTTTCTACGACATGTACGACGTAAACAATCCCCTATCTTTTTGTTTCTCTGCAAGGAACTTTTTGCACTGACGAAAAAAAAAACCGCGATTGATACACACCCGAGTGGAATTATAGGAGATTTTTTCGATGGATGGAAGATGGAAGTGGAAAGGAAAAAGTTGGTTGATTAAATTTTTTCGTAATTTCTTTTTAAACTGTACTTTATTACATTCTGTTAGAAATAATACACAAAAGATTCTCAGGGGGCGACGAAGCTTTTCATGCCGATCACGCACGGTGATGAATTGTCGCTCGATCGAGAAATCGACGGCCCCGTGGATCATCGTGCGGCAAACCGTCATCTGCGACCCCCACGTGTGTGGATAATCGATCGCGCCCGATGAATCGATAATATACAATTTTAATTAATATTTAACTTATTAAGAGTCTGCGAGGGACCATAAATATATATATATATATATATATATATATATATATATATATATATATATATATATATATATATATATTTATTTATTTATTTATATATAGAAAAGCGCGTCGATTTTCCTACTCTTTCTCGATTTATATCTCCTTTTGTTTACATCCTCGGGGTCGCAGACTCGGTTGGCCAGATTTGCGATTAACGTTCGAGTAAGTAAAATGTTTACGTAAATGCGCCTATTTGAAAAAACGAATAATGTCAGAAAACGACGTGAGCGGTTTACATTATCGATTTTTAGTCACCTTTAAAGCGTTCTGTTTCTCGGGTTACGTTTTCTTTCACGTCTATCTCTGTTTACGGGAGGATTCGTCGATCACCTATAAGACCACTTACGCGCGCAATTCAATTTAAGGAATAATTGTTCCTTTCCTCTCTTTTCTTTTTGTCTCTTATTTTCCTCGTTTTGGTATTATTCTCGTTTGAACGTCGATATTTGGTGCTCATGTAAGAAGCGAGTGTTTAAGTTCTGGTTCGAGTCGGTTTATCGAGTTTCCTTCGCGTTATGAGAACGCTTAGAAGTATTGCATCTCGATTGTACAGAGAATGAAGTATATCTCACAGTAGCTCACGTGGAACGAGCGTTTCCTTTCTACGATAAATATCAATGAAAAGAATATATTCTTCTCTATTTTTAAACATCCTACCTGTTTATCTCGAGAATTTTCCCCTAAATTAATAAATATTTCGGGAAAATACTAGAGATACTAATAAAGATTCGTCAAATTCTGACATTCTCAAGAGAAAATAGATATCGAAGTTCGTCTAGGAAGAATTGTTCGATGAATAAAATTGGGAAAATGGAATTGAAACGATAACCCTATGCGAGAGGAAAGATTCCAAGTGTGCGAATTTCGCTTTCGGATAGATTGGTAACCAAGGAAACGGTGATTCAACAACGTTCCGCTATCGTTTCACGCTTAGAACGTATGAGAACGAAAATGATGCTCTCGTGGTCGGTCAGGGACGAGACACAATCTGGTAGGAGCACCATGGGTTGAAGGGCACCATCGCATGGTGATTTATCTCGGTTCGATATGAAAGCGATATTATGAACACGCACGAGATATCGATTGTTGCTCGCATTCACGTGGTTCAGGTGGGAAAAAACGCAGCTTGACGAAAGTCGTGAGACGAGGACGAGCGAAACGACACACCAGCATTACGATTTTATTCGTGCTTCGTCGAATAAGTAATAGAATTCTCATAGATTATTCTTCTGAAATAACCGTTTTTATGAACTACCATAACCAAACTTTTCATTATCTGTCCTAACCGTTCCGTAGAATTCTACTATTTCTTAGTCACCACGAAATCCTCCAAAATAAATGTATGGAAGCAGATGGAAAAGCGACTTTGAAGATATTCGTGTATATTCGTCCTGTGAATATCTCATAGTTGTTTTTTTCCATTGATCGTCAAATTCGAACGCGCAACTGACATTTTCCCAGTGATCGATTCCAGTGCGACGTCAATCTCGATATTCTGTTACGAGACAGAATGAAGTTAGTGCGGTTGCGCCGTTAACGTACCACTGTGAATCTCACTATCGATTATTTTCTATGATCTGATCTTTCTTCTGTGTTCAGTGCGAAAAAATCGTTGAAAGAGGAAACTCGAATCGATTGGACATCGATGAAAAAGTTCGGTGGCTCGGTCCTAATATAGGACAGCGGAAATTAGGTATTCTATTCGATATACATATCTGTGGTATCGTGCAATACTTCGTAACTAACGATTAAGATTATTCTACAGCGATGTTGGTCGAGTCGACTTCTGATAGACGTTACGTCGATATTTCATTCGACTATACTTCGTAGAAAGAACCACGGTTAATAGTCATCTGTAAAACAAGTTGTATCATACAACTCGACGGTTAGTGTAGCTATGATTAATATTAAAAAACGTCTCTCGTGAATACAACCGCACCAATCTCATTGCAGAATTAATCGAAATTGTAAAATGAGCAGATATAGAAAGAAACATTTCTGTTTCTTTCCTCCCTCCGGAAAAAAAAGAAAAAGAAATGAACAAAAGCGTGTATTTGACGGACAGAGCACATGTATACACACTTCTACATTTGGTTTCAAACGAAATCAGCTCGAAACCGGCTGACTCGATTATCAACGCTCTCGCAGACGTGCCTAGCAAAATTTCACGTTCCGTTTTTTTGTACGCCTCGCTATTAATCCGATCGGACAGACATCCGTCGCGCGAGTGACGAACGAGAAAAAAACGTTTTCCAAAGTCGAGTCGGACCACGATTTCGAGCTTTACATAATTCTTCCTTATCTACCGGCTAAGTTTCCACGCGATCTCGACCGTTTCGTCATACCACTGTCAATATATCAAACGATCGTATTCGCGAGATCACGCGAGTGAAGCCGGAAGCTCCATGAAAACGATACGCTCTCTCTTTCTCTCGTCGGCCCTGCTACGATCTCTCCTCACTTTTTTCGATTTTTCACGTGTTTGTTTCGTGCACGGTAACGAATTTCGTGAAGTGAAAAATGATTATGCCAGGTCACTTTTTTTCTTTCTTTTTTTTTGGTTGTAGATTCTTCGTTTATTAAAGTCATTTCTTTAGACACGTGCTGGAACTGAGAACCGTAACAGGGTTCGATAATTTAGGTATTTGCCTCTGTTTTATTATTTGTAAAACACAGACAAAGAACGATCCGTTTTAATTCACAAATTCATAGTAAAATTGTAAAAGGAAGATTGAAATAGGCAGGTTCGCTAGGGAAAGTCTAAGGTTACGTTGAACCACGAAAGATGTCACTGAGTAAAGGGCATTCAGAGGTCACACACACGACTGTGTTCTTTTAAATGGCAGTTTACTATTTTTCTCGTATGAATCACGCTAGGCTATTGCTGTTTTTTTTTTATTTGCAGATTAAAAGGAATCGTCCTCTGTATCCTTCTTTAAACAATGATCAATGAACAATGCGATTCAAGATTCAATGACAATTAAGGAGACGTGTAAATTTGATAAAGTTCAGTAGTATCAAGTAACGCTTAAGGCGAAGAACGGGCTCTTGCGTGCGTTAACCCTTTGCAATCCAATCTCTTTTCGCGTGGAAAGGCAGTTTGGAATAAATTAACCCTTACGATGTCATCGACCGGTATTCTAATATCAAAATTCATCGATCATTTATTTAATTGTTGATATTTATGGCCAATTCAATTTCTTTCTCTTTTTAGGTTTTTTTTTACACACAATATTACAAAGGTCAACATCAAAAAGGTTAATGCGATTGTAAATTCATCGCCGAATAAAAGAAACGCTTGAAACAGAAGAATGTAGGAGCGCAAAGGGTCGGCAATGAAATCAGTACGCGTGTAAATACATTGACCGCTTAACGAGGTAGTTTCATTGTTGAATCGGTATTTCGTTTTCGTACACTTTTTTTTTCCTCTTCCCTTTTTATTCATTTATTTATTTTTTAAATTTCTTTTTTTGTTTTTATTTCGTTCGTCTTTTTCATTCTCGAAAATCGAGAAAACGGCGGAAGTGTTTCATGATGGTTGTTCTGGTTACCATTACAAATGATTACTAAAACAAACTGAGGCTTATAGTGCTTAGATAGTACCTCGGGAAATCTCGTTACGATATATATATATTTCTTTATATCTGAAAGAAAAAAAAGAAGAAACAAAATCGTTCGGACAATTGTCGTGACTGTGGAGAGAAAAATGTAGAGAAACTTCGAGAGATACGCTATACGCTACTAAATGAACGAGGTTCGTTAATCTCCTTCCGTTTATTTAATTTTACTGACTAGAGCGTCGATCGAGTTAATACATAAAATTACCTTTACAACTAAAACTAAACGGACATCGACGAGGGACTCTTTTCTTCTTCATTTTTTTTTTTTTTTGTCTTTTATGTCATTTTACGTCTTATGAAAGTTCACTTCGTGTAACGTTCCAATTGTTATAATTGGTTTTGTTTTTTCTTTGTCTCGTTTTCGTGTCTTTTCTATTCTTTTTCTTACGTATCGTTTTCCATAAGCATAGAACTATGCAATTTGTATCTTTTTTTTTTTCTCTTTTCTTCAATGCTTCACATGCATTTGCCTTTGATTTTGATTTCGTGACGTCGTTCGACAAACATCGTATCGGTGTCACTTTCGCTTGGTTATCGAGATTTAAAAAAATGTTTCGTTTCGTTTTCTGTTTTTTTTCTTCTTTTGCATTATTTGTTTATTTCTTAGTATCGTTTTATCGTTGTTCTCTCGTAAAAACGCTCCACGCAAAAAAAAAATATCTTATATCCGACCTTTGTGGTGTCGATTACAAAAACGAGCACGTTTGTTCGCAGTTACCGTACTAAGGATGGCCGTCAATGTTGATCGACTCTCGTGAATCTGTCGTTGTTTGAACAGAATTCAGTGATATAATACGAATGCTCGGATAAGTTCGATGAAATCGCTCGGAATAAGTTTTGTCGGACAATAGTTAAATCGTGAATTGGAACCATGTGCCCGGCTGTCACATTTTATATCCACACTCCTACTTTTTACCATCGCTCGTTCGAAAAGAAAGGAAAACAGAAAAAATAAAATATGAAAGAAAGAAAGAAAGAAAAAGAAATGACATTATAGTAGTATCATATCATGACACAAACTTCGAGGTTCGACCACTTATATGTGATATTAACTGTTTGAAAAGTAATCAAGTTATATATGTATATCATACAAGACGTGTTACGCTTATTCTTTTTTTTTTTTAGCGTTACAATTAAATATTAAATAATTATACACTACATTCTCTCCGTTAACAAAAGAAATGAACTTAGCATACAGTCTGTGTACAAAAAACCAGGATTTACAATAGCGTACTAACCTCAATGTATAATAGGAATATAATAATTTTTATCACATATAAAAAGCAGTTGCATATGTACATATCTGAGTAAGATTAGGTACCATTATTATTATTTTAACCGATAGTAGCTATTATATAATTTGGTACACTGTTTAACGTGGATATTTGATAAATACGAACAATAATCAGTATGTCGTTATTTCCTGGTGTCTTGACATAGTCGTTGGATTTTCTCATCGCACGAATTCCTATGTATACACACGGTTCGCTTATATCCTCATTACACGTGACTTTGTTTTCCTCTTTTCCCCCTCTTTAGTTATTATTTATATAATATCTATATAACACATGTTATTTAATAAGTCAGAGCTATGGCCAGTTCATAAGTTAAAGAATCGCAGTCATTATATTCCCGTGTATTTTCGTTCATGTAATGCGTATGCCCGATTAAAATGCCGAACACTACACAAACAATACACCTAATATTCTTTCCTTTCTTACCGACTGAAAACTAAGAATTGCTTTACAAATACTGCGAAAAGACCACAGCTCTTTTTCTTTTTTTTTTTCCTTCCTCAACGATGGATCATACCTTAGAACGATACAAGTTAATGTATTTTTTTTGTTTGTTTTATATTTGTTCCATACCCTTTTGTGTGGCTACCGTCACGCTTTCTTCAATTTCATTTTCTCCTCTATTTTTCGTTTTGTAAAAAATTTCGATACCTTTTCCTGCGGCACCGCGACTCCTTACGTTAAAAGAAAGAAAAATAAAAAAGGAACAAACCGACCATTTCATTCTGCCGCGTTTTTCATATCCATCGTTACGATTTAAATTAGAAATATATCCCGTCATAGCTGGCGTTTTCTATTTGCATATTTTTTTGTTTTTTTTTTGTTTTTTTTTCTTTTTTCGTTTTTCTTTAACGATCGACTGTACCACGTACTTGAATCTCTCTAGTAGGTTCTATCAAATTCATTCTCATTATTTCTCATAAATAGTCAAAAAACATAACAGACAAAATATAAGCAATTAAATTCGAAGCAACAACTCGATCCTTAAACATCTACCTAAGAATACAAATGGAGTCGTACAATATCGAAGGCACAACTCTTATTCAAATTGGATGAACTGAAAGAAAGCACAATGGGAGGCATCATTGGTATATGTCTAAATTCTTAGGCAGTGTAAACCACTGCATTAGAGAAGTGACTTTCCTTTCTTTCATTTTCTTTTTTCTTGATGCTCGAGATTAAGTACAAGGAAATTTTCGTTTAATTCGTCTTGAAAGATAGTGAAATATCGATAGATGCATAGTTTTTTTTCCTTTTCTTGATATATAACTCTGCTCTTCCCAATTAAATCAGAAACTACTGTACTTTTTTCTCTTCATTTTTTTTAGCCTTATCTTTCGGTCGTTAGAAAGTTTCATTTTTTAACTTTTTATTAGTAACAAATTTACATAGACATACGGAAAGTTATTTTCTTTTTTTTTATACCTTTGTTTTCTATTCGGCAGAGACGGGATTCCATAACACTATACGCTATACATTTATACAATCTTATCGTATTTCTACTCGAATTCATATGCATTAATCGAGGCAAATAAAATTCTTTGCTAAATCGTTTCTTTTTTTTTGTCGTTTTTTTTTTCTTTTTCATTAATCTTCCTTCGTAAGTTTTCTTCCTACCAAAACGTCCTTCTTTTTTTATCTAAATTGTCAAAAGCCCAAATGATTATATATGGATGCAAAAAACGAAGAATGCCTGAACGTTAGGAGTAAGAAAAAACCACAATGAGAATTGGTTGCCTCAACCAATACGTAAAAATTCTGTTCTTATTTAGTTAATCGCCTGCTGTTTCTCTAACATCGTTCTTTTTTTCTCAATGGTGCAAATGGCTATACCACATCGTATCATTTCATGAAAGTAACTGCCCACAGTAAAACTGACAGATTGCAAATGTAAGTTCGTGAGAATACCAGTTGCAAAAAAAGAACAAATCTGCAAGTTATATCTGTACAGGTGCCTCTATCGTTCGACACCAAGCTGCTGACGCAGTAATATCTAAATATCTTGAAACGGTTTCACCGAGGCAGCAACTTGGTAGAACGTCAATATGTAGCGTTCATTATGGATCCTGGCTGGTATTTTGTGATGACTCACAGTTCTGTGGACTATGTAATTGATGAGCTGGTGGTGTGAGTATAACCGGGGATTGGGACCAAAGAGGAGTATGAACTGGAGATGGTCTAGGCTGAGGTTGTTGTTCCTCTTGCGTTTGCGGTATTATAGTGATGTCAGGAAAACTGAAAACACAAAAGAAAAGACAAATAAAATTACAACAGTAAATGAAGCCGACTAATAGAAATTTCCTTATAGACTTACGCTATAGATGCCCACACTGAACTACGTCGTCTCGATCGCTGTACATCTCTATTTCGTGGTTGGTACTTTTCTGCCTCCTCTGTACAATCTTCGCTCGTATCTTCCAGCTCCTGTTCCTCATCTGGACAAAGTTCGCATGCCCTCTCCAATGTCTTCTTTGCACTGTTACTGCGCTCCAAACCATAACCATTCGTCGAATCATTAGACTGTGCTGGTGGAGACCAGTTACTGTACGCGTGAGTGTATGGAGCCGCAGAGGCGTATGGTCTCTGAAAAATACAATTAATACAGTTTAACACATCGTCTTCTGCAATGTGATAATTAATTGTCGTTATTATTTAGTACTTTATCAAGTTCTTCGTGAAGCCATTCAGTAGCGTGTATCCATTTCCGCTTCAATTCAGAACTGTGATGTAAAAGTTGGTGAGCAGATCTGCACTTGCTAAAGAGTTGTACCATGCACTTAATACATTGATACGCTCTCTTTTGATAATGATGTTTACTTCTTTGTATTATGTCGAATAATCCTTCTCTTTCGTCTGGCACACCTAAATAAATAATTACATTTTATGATCTTGAGTAAGCTTTAATACCCCTTAGATTAATATTTTTAAATGCAATATTTTGTACCTTTAAGTGCATTGTGAACACGATGTGTTTGCCACGAATCCTCCATAAGAAGCATGGCAAGCAACAAATCCGTGTGATGTTTTAATTCATGCGTGAAAGCAAATCCAATTTGCCATAATAATTCACTGAGAACGGTTCGTGACACGTGTGGATTCTCCCAACAACAATATTGTAATAATTTCACTGTATCTTCGGTAACGTTAACGTCAGCGTCTTCGATAAGTTTTTTCATGTAACTATAAGCAAAAATAACACGTTAATAATACTTCTTTATCATTCGTTTGAAATACACTTTCAAAGCAAATTTTACTTGTTTTTTACGAAGAGAATATCTGCTGCTTGTGGCTGAATAGGCATCAAATATTCATTCTGACATGCCGGATCTCCATATGGATTTGGTAAAGGCGCTACTCCTGATGGTGCATGACTCGAATGTGCTTTCGATGACACGTCGCAACAGCGTATCAGCATACTAACTACTTGATGTAATTTAGTCAGTTCGGGATATTGATATTTTATTGTAGGGCCCGGTCCTTCGTCGATTGCAACCAACATAAATGTAACCGGAACATTTAACTACAATAAACAACGATTATAAATGGTACAGTTTAAAACAGTACTTATTACTTAATATGTAAAAACAAATATAAGTTACCTTAAGCAACTGGGCTTTTTCAGCAAGACCAAGCAATGCATACGTGTGAAACAGAGAGAAATAATGTGGTAGATGACGCCCATAATCTGAGATTTCACGATGAAGCAAAGAAAGAACTGCGTGCAATAAATGATCACTAAGCGTCGCTGTTGGATCCAAAAGTATGGCTGAAAATATGTTGATTTATTAGAAAGTGTTTTAGATTAAGATACCTTACTAATTTCTTTTCATTATATGATTAAAGAGAGCCTAACTTTTTAATTAGAAAAATATAGATTTGCAATTAATATTGAACATGATTAAAAAACTTACTTGGTGCGTTTAGACTAGGTGGCACGCAAGGGCCATCCTGAAGGGAAACGTGTGCAAGAAATACCAAAATTTTGAGAAACGCTGTTCGAACTTCTGTACTGGGACAACTCAAAAGGTACTCGCAAAATCTAAAGACAATGAATTAATTTTTGTTAAATATCGAATCTTTCTTACGTTCATGTGTAAGTACTCAAGAAAACGTGATACCTATGTGGATGATTAAATAGAACATTGTGAGCAAACCAAGATCGCACTGATTTGCTACTACGCAAATGGTGACACACAATGTCGTACCAATCCGTCGCATTACCGCGTAAAGTTTTCTTAGTATGAAAACCTGTGAAAAATAGAAATCTTGATGCTAGTTGTACGGACAGCATCGCCAATTCTTCCTCGGGGCTCTACAATAGTAATTTTTATAAACTGTAATAAGTTTCTAACAAATAACATTAAAAATAATTTTTATTCGTTAAATTAACTTACGGGTTTCTCATTCATATTTTGTCTGTTGATGTTATGAGGATTACAAGATACAAGTTTTTTAATAAATTGAAAGTATTCTGCACTAAACTGGTTTCGATTATGCATGAACTTGATATTCTGTTTTCTGACGCTATATTCGATAGCCGGTGGCATTTTCATAACTCCTAATTTCGTATCTAAAAGTTACAAAATTTTTATAAGTAAGCACTGCACTTTAAACAGTATAAATTCGAAGCAACACTTACACAATGATAATTCATTAATGCTTTTCATTAGAGAATTTTCCTCTACATCTAATCTGGTATAAAATAACATGTAGGCATTCCACCATCGTTTTTGTTTTCGATAACTCATTCGTTTAAGCATGTGATCAAATACCTCCCCCAAATAATCACCGCCAAAACACTGAGACTTCATTTCGTCCTCTTCTTCCATTTTACATTCCGTAACGTCGCCGTCATCGAACTTATACCATTTAGCAACTCCATCACTTTGCCTGATAAACAAATAATAAAATAAAATCACTTTAAGGGGAGTACGTAAGTATTAATGTTGTGCACATGCATGTATTTTCAGTACCTATGTAAAATATACGAATAATAATGACCACCGCTAGCCTGGCCACTATGTACTACGATGCCGGTTAATTGATATTTAGTGCAAGTCCTTTTCACTGACTCTTCGTAATCACAGTCTATAACTTCTCCCTCCAGCTTAGCGAGTCCAGAAACAGTATAAGGTTCCATGTCCAAATCTCTTGGAAATTCAAAGTAATCATTAAACTTTATGGCGCAAACTTTATCATAATCGTACTCAAATCTTTTTAACTGTATCGCTAAAACCGGTGGCAACTTCTTTACACATAATCGTTTTACTGTTACGACCTAGAAGAAAAAATTGTTATTCAAATAAATAGTATTATTAATTTTACAAATAATACATATCAAATATTTAAAGATATACCTTTTTATTACATTTGTCGCAATGATAAGCGTCTGCACCTTCTAACAATTCTCCCTTTACATACTGTTCAAGAGAGTCCAGTAAATTACTGTGATTTCTGATATCCACGCTTATCAAACTGAATGGTTCCTCCTTGGAATATCTGAAGATAATGTAATGCGGTATTACAGTTTACCGAAAAAAGCAAAATGTAAGAAATAAGAAGGTACCTATGAGGGCAACCTTTGCAGATTTTTTGGTCACTGTATGAACCACCCAGAATCTTGCTCATTATCTGTTCATGTCCTAAGGCTTTTAATGCCTCATCTAAACTTTCCACCAAGCTCATAAAAAATTCAACTGCATCCTGTTGTTCTCTAAGATTTACAGGTTCACCTTGAAGTCTAAAAATAATATCAAAAACACAAATGAACATTTCCCTATTTATATTTTCATAGATTACACATACGAACATTTTCAAAATATGTGTCACTTACTTGAAGTGTTTCCAAAGACCTCTAGGTATATAGTATTGCAATTTGCTATATGCCAAATGACCAAAAATCGCTTGAACTTGCTTCAAGATACCAATATTATATTCTTTTCGGGATTCGTCAGCTCCACATTTTTCTTCGTTCGTATCGTTATCATTTGCTTCTATCGTTTGTTCTCCTTCGATTCTTTCTTCTCCGGAGAAATCTTCATTCAAGTCTGTTGCTGAACCTTCAGCAGCTAGAAGTCCAACTCTTATACTTTCGACCATGTACAATTGTTGTAATACTGAGTTCATGTAACAAGTTGCACCGGCGTTCTTTAGACCTACAAAGCCCTTCAACGGTCTAAGCCCGACTGGTGGTAAGTAATCCCATTCTACTAATGGTTCGTCTCTCTCAGAGTAAAACATATCAGTGAGCATTGTGACTAGAAGTTTCATGTTAGGTACACAGCCTACACAAAGACCTACAAGTAAATCAAATGCCGCACTAGTTGACTGAGGAGTCGTGCATACTGGGCTCGCTTGTGTAGCACTTAGCTCTCCAGTGCTACGAAGTTGCAGCATAAGACGCGATGCAGGAAATACGAAGTCTTCGACCAATTCTTTAATCAAATTTACGTTGTGTTTTTCATCAGAACCAAGTTCGTATTTTTTACTCGGAGGTAGAAAAGCCAGTAGTTCTTTAGCTAGACCAAGATGACCTTCGAGAACAGCTTCATCTACTTGACTTTCTCCAATTTCTTTCACATTGTCCCGTACTTTCTTTAACCATGCTATTTCAATATTCAGCAATGTTTCAGCTGTCAACAGTGGACATCCCGACATGTGTGCAAAATTTAATAGTCTACATAAAAGTTGAAAGTACTCGTGACTCTGTTTCGCATGCTCCATAACAGTGGTGTTCAAGACGTTGAAAAGTAGCGTTATCGCAAAAAGTAATGGTTGATGACCACTACTGTACCACGTTGATATAAGAAAAAACTGTTCAGCCGCAGCCATTCTAACCACTCTTGACGTGCTCAAGAGCACAAGATCTATTAAAAACGTATGCCACATTTTGTCCCTTGATAGTGATTCTAACGCAGTTGGATTCAACACCAAGGCGATTGTCAGAACTTCCAATGCCTCCTTACATACTAATACGTCATTATTGTCAGGATTATTTGACGTTTCCTTTTCGTTCTTTTCGTGAAGTGTATGAAGCATCTCAGTTGATGCGTTTATATTGTTTAAATTTCCCGTGGATGCTGCCCATGCTAGCCTAATTATGGCACGAATAGTAACTACGTCTGGTAGCTCCCAGGAAAGGGCCTGCATAAAAAGTTGTCGACATTTATCGGATTCTGCTCCTCCACACAACATTCGAAGAGCTAAATGCTGTGCCAGTTTCGTTGCTACGCTTCTCAACATATACTCTGTATTCTGATTAGGTACACTTTGCAACGCTTGTTTTAAAACCGCAACGGGACCTCGATTGTTGTGAGCATGATTATCGTGATTTTCTGAAATTCCAGCTTGCTGTACTTCATCCATTACGCAGGCCATCGCATTACCAACTATTGTTAGTAGAAGCTTAGATAATTTTAACACTGTTAAATACGCTGCACGCTTCGTAGTTTCGTCTGCATTTGGTAAAAATTTGTTTTTAGTTAACATTTCAAGAATAACACCAGCTTCACCACTCTTTATGAAATTGCATTGAAACTCAAATGCTCTTTCTGACATTGGATCTAAAGCTGGCATTAATAAACTATATAAAACCTGAAATACAAATAATTCGTTATGAATTATTCGAGTGATATGACCAAGAATATGTATTGCAAAATCCCTTTACCTCTAAATTGTATAAAACTTGGTTTGAACTTGCAGTAAAAAATAAAGAATCTACTGTAGTATTTTGTTCATTGCAAGGAGCATTATCTAAATTATCGTCGTCTTTACAGTGACCAAATAACAACTGTAATCGTTCTACAGTAAGAGTATCTGGTGGTACCAGTTGTAAAAGATTTCTTGCACCATCGCGTAATTGCGAATGCTGGAGAGTGCATCCAAGGTCTGCTAATTGAAAAAAGAACGTAGCATACTGCGATCTTTGCGACATGACCTACAATAAAAACATGAAATCCCTAATTTTTTAATTTACAAAGCAAAAGTGTATAAATCAGGCATGTAATCAGTCATAAAACTAATAATTTCTAGTTTTACATATTGTGTAATTTACACAAATGTAAATTAACAATTTAAAGTTACGAATATAAATGAACGTACCACACCCGGTAAATTATTTTCTGCTTCTACATTTGGCCCGTCATATGGATGGTGTGGAGAACCAGTAGAGCTGTCCGAACTACTATCCGGAGAACTTTGCAAATTGCTATTTACTTGACTTAACTTTGCTGACAATAGCTATATGAAAAGTACTTCATTTGTTAGTTGCTTCATCATTATTATATTTTAAAAGAAATGAATATTAATTACATATACCATCTTGTCCCTCAATGGAGTTTGAGAAAGAAGTTTCCTATCATCTGTAGGCTCCAAAGGTTCTCCATTAAGAAATAAGTCAAGTTTCACATTTGTTCCATTTGCCTTAATTCTGCGTAATATTTGTCGTCTTAATGATCCCAAAGTGTCGTTACTATGCGTAAATATATCTATGTCATCCACATTACGACCAGGATTTGCAAAACGAATGATAAGAGATAGATGCTTCCCACGAGCTGCTCTGTAATCAAATAAGGTACAATTTTTTTGTGATATTGAAAGTTGAATTATTTTTTACAACTACATATGAATAGTTATACCTATGCAATGGCAATATTTTCCGTTCTCCAGGGAATGCTGTGTCGCACTCATTTATATACTCCTGTAATACCTTCATAACACGGCACATTTTCATAGCTTCCACTTTAATTTTATTTGACATTTGTTCTTCACTTTCTTCCTTTCCTTCAAGATACACTTTCCTTAAAACAGATACAGTGTCGTAATGTGCTTTCAATCTATCCATGCATTCTCCTATGTATGTCACATGAAATGCCAAAACTGTTGACTGAAGTCGTGGTCCTAAATTAGTATTTACTTCTTTTAATAGTTCTATAGCACAATTTGCAATTTCTTCAGGACTATTGGTCACTACCTAATTAGACAAATACATAAAACTATATAATAGTACAAGATATTATTATTGATATAATATAAATAATATGAAGTTTTACTTACTCGCCACAAATAATCTGTACCAATTAGGTCAACGTCATCCATAAGAAACGTTCTTCTTTTTAATTTTAATTTTCCTTCCTTAGAATTAACAGCTTTGAAAAATCGTTCATAGCATTTAATCCCGCTTTCCGTAAGTAATGTCGGATCTAATTGTAGTATATTATTTTGGAAAAAATCTTTATTTATTGCCGGGTCAAGATCTGGTTCGTCTCCCATTAGTTTCGAAAACCACTTAAAGCACGCTTCACGATCAGACACGAATACACCTTGTTCCGCTAAACATTGCCAAATTTGTTCAGCTTGATCCGCACATAACCACAGTTGACCATCCTACAAAAAGATAAATATAAAAGAAATTATAAAGATTTATGTTAAAACACCATTGCTATGTAAGTGAATATATGATACCTTTAACAAGAAACGTAGGAAATTAAGTCTTTCCTGCACTTGCATAATGTGGTTATAGCGACCATCGGGCATGTAAGTATTTGCATCAATATCTGGATTTTCCTTAACCAACTGTCGCATTTTATCCATATAATTCGTTAAACTGTTTGTCACAAGAATTACTATAGAATGTTCTGCTTGAAGCCGATCTACAACATCTTGCCTAAATGGTAAAAAATAATATGAAACAATAAATAAATAATATTAATTCCAAATAATTCTTTTTGTTCACATTATTATTTAATATAAATATACCTATAATGATGGTTTCGTTGACCATGACACGCTATATTAGGATTTGATTCATAAAGGCAACATATTTCCCGAATTTGTTTTAAAGCAGGCAGAGCCCACTTATCCCCATTCTTTAATTCTTCCACGCATTTATCTAACCAAATTGTCTTTTGAGCATCCCTTTCTTGTGAACATGAATAATCAAGTATTTTTATATGTGCATATAATGCTTGATCCATGATTTCTGTAGGCATCTCGTCAGAATGAGCCAAATTCCAAAAAAGGGTTAACACCTAATATTCATAAAAAATAGATTAAAATTTAAGTAAAACTAACAATATATTTTACACATATAATATGAAATTGTAATACCTTATGAGCCATTACACCATCTTTATCATCTTCTGCTAGTCTCCGGATTAATTCTAACAATTTTTCTCTTTGTTTCTTATTAGCAGTCTTCCAACTCATCTAGAAAGAAGAAAATTTCATTTAAGTTATAATAATCATTAAAATAAAAATTGTTATCATCTCAAAATAATGAACACCTGGAAACATTCGAAGAGATGGTCAAGTTGTTCAGGGCTAAAATCCCAAGCAAGTTTAGCTAACAGATCATGAACGTTTTTCACAATTGCTTCATGTTTCCCAGCTTGTGCTGCCCAAACAGCATCTAAATCTTCCAGAGTCAATGCTCGTTCTTTTATAATAAAGCGTAAAATCTTTTCCAACTTTTCAACATATTGAGGCTGATGTAACGAGTCTCTTAAAACGATTTCTAGTACTCCATTTTCCTTTATCCATTTCTATGTAAACCAAATAATTTGACTTATCAATATTTTTCAATAAATCACGTAATAAAATTAAGACAAGAATAAACTTACCGCCATGCATTCAGTATTAAGCCATTCTTCTTCTTCAACAATCGCATTTCGGTGTTGGTGAAAACTAACGGTGTCGATCACTTTATTCACTTCATTTAAAGCATTCATCTTCCCATTAAATGAAGAAATTTGTAAGAGTCTCAATATCATCTTCAGTCTCAGAATTCCCAAATTTTTAATCATCTCCTCTTGATGGGGTACTCGTGAAACTAAACATTTGGCTGCTTTAATTATGGCTGATATTGCATCATTTTTTGCTTCGTTTTTCGCATCCTTCTTTAATTCCTCATCAGTCAAATTATTCAAAATTACAGGCACCATTTCCTGTATACAGAAAAATATGCAATAAACATAGACACAAAACTAAATTGTTTAATATCTTTTATAAGATATTTACCACAATAGGCATAAGATATTTAACTATTGTGTGAACAGTTAATAGTTCATAACACAAACCAAAAGGTCTGATTAAAGCATAAATAACTGGTATTGTTAAATTTCGGCCGCTCTGAAATCTAGAGAGCAAAATTTCAAATCCATTAAGACTTCCAAACCTGTAAAAAAAAAAGTATTAATTATTTATTACAAAATATAAAATTGTGAGAAAAGCCACTGTTAAAAAATGATTAACCTATTTATGAGATCCACTAGCCAACCACGAGGACTTCTTGAATCAGGTGGTGGCCGTGCATAAAACAGTTCATCAGGAATATCACTGCCGGGAGGAACAGTTTCCGATACCCTTGCAGCATTAAATGTATGAAATCTAAAACAAAATTGTTTTAATTGGTTTGAAATGAATGAAATACTTTCAATTACGCGAAAAAAATTGAACTCACTTATTACTAGGATTAAAAACCATTGCCAGCAATTCAAGAAGGGGAAACCAGTCCTCCTCTAGTTTCAGGATACATAGATCCACCAATCGCTCACAGTTTGCATTAATACAATTCTGAATATTCAATTTCCAACTACTTACTGCATCATCAGTCAATATTTTGGTAAAAGAAATCGTGAGTCCTTCTCGGAAAAAGCGCTGACACGCTTCACTTTGTACATCAATTCCTAAAGAAAAATTGGGATTTAGTGTTATATTGGAATATATGTAATTGATAAGTCATTCAATTCAATATAAACTCAAAATTATTTGTTATATATAACCTTTTTTACAAAGCTCGATACTGGCTTGTAACAGGCACTCTAACTCTTGTTCTGGCAGAACTGGTACAACCCATCGTGGACTAGATATTTTTTCATGAAGCATATTGAGTTTTGCAACAGGAAAATCAGGCTCTCCATGAAGAGGATTACTATCTTCTACTGAAGTTAAGGTATCATTGGTGCATTCTGTTTGTACCACATTCTCCGTGAGCTGAAGTCCTGATATTGTGTCAGCTAATTGTTGCGGACCTGGTGGACTGTGCATCTATTACACATATTACATTAATGCATCTATTACACATATAACACATACTAATAAAATAAATTAATATAAAACTTAAATGAATATGTTTTAAATATGGTTTTACATACAATTTATTTTAATAATTAGAATATCATTGATTAATGGAGAAATAATTACACTAATATACCTGTGTACTTTGCTGGCTGTCAGGAGGGTCTATGCCTACTCCTTGGCCTCTTGTGGCGATCGTCATTTTGTGTGCTCTTCGCTATATTCCAATTGTCTCAATACCTCTTGGTCCAATAATTGCACCACCAATAACAACCATCCAACTCATTCAATGACATTAAATATAATTATACCCTAAAGGCCTTGTTTGAATAAACTATACCTACATTATCTGAAACAAAGTAACAGAAAATCTATAGAAAATTAAGATTCTTATAATTTATTACAATAACACTATAAATATTTAAGCATAATTTTTCAATTAAATAAATATCACACTGATCTACTAATTATGAAGTTACAACAATATTATGATAATGAATGTAAGTATATTACTGAATATTTCAAGAATGTTTGTATTGGCAGAGTATTTTAATAACAGTTTTACACTCATCAAATATCCATTCACTTATTATTCTTGCACATTGTTAACAAGTTTACTGTTATTTGTGACTTAACATTATACAAATACAAGATATGCAAAAAGATAAGAACAATTCACAAACATAAAACAGGAAAACGTTCAAAAGGTGAACCGATTGGAAAATTAGAACGGGCGAAAAATCTGTAAGACAAGAACTGTGTAATTCGAGCTCGCCTCGAGGGACACCGGTAGCGTCAATATTTCATAGATGAACAACAGAGAACAAATTTATGAAGGGCTGCGGGAAAAACTTAGACAACAAAGAACGTTTCGCACATTCTACAAATCGCATGACAGCATAATCTTGCTATGGTTTCAGCCAACAAATTCCGATTATTCGTCTTGGCCAACGAGAACAATTCTTTCATTAATGATAATAGTCACTCGATCGTACGAATCCAACAACGAAATTAATAATCACGTTCAAGGGCCTGTATTCCTTTGGAATTTTGCAATTCACGAAAGGTACGATGTCATGTCGCGAATTATTTCTCTATCTCCTTCTCTCTCCTCTCGATCTCTTTCTCTCGCCACCTCTTTTTATTTCACGGGTGTATCGTCAAACATACCGAACTGTCAACCGTCAAAAATTAGAATTAGGAAGCGGCGAATCCGGCCTGCTTTCTGTTGATGAGAAAGCATCATCGATCAAAGAATTTCGCGAATGATCGTCGTTAAATTAGCTTGGAATTACACGAAATACGTGTACGGCGTGCTTACAAAGGAGTAACGTCGAGCGGGGACGAAACGAAATCTCAATATTTCATACACGCGCACTTCTTCTACGAGTGTCAGATTTCTTTCAATAATTAGAAATAGGTAAAATGATCCCACACGACCGGTACCTATGCAATTTCAACAATCCTCGGTGTCCAGGGAGCAACTATTTTCGCCCCGTTCACTCAACCGGGCCACCTCCGGACAAAATGGCGACCATCCTAACGATTAGCATTGCCGTATTAAAGAAAACCTTTTAAATTTTCTTTGCGAGAAAATACCAATTTACTGAAAACGTATTGTGACACACAGAAACTTTGTATTACCACCAATTAATACGTCCAACTTTTATCGGGAAACGCACCTTTACATAGTAAATGGTCGTAGAAATTTGTTGCACTTTTTGACGTGACGTTGTAGAACTCACTGACGAATCTGTAAACACGACTATCTTACGGCGCTACTGTCGTCCTCGAGTTAAAACGACCACCGTACCACTGACACTACGTTCACGGTGCTTCTTATGCGTTTCCTCGATCATTCAATCTCGATCACTGCTTCCTTCAACCCTTTTTATTCGTTCATTCCTTTTTTTTCAAAATTTTTCTTTTTTTAACAATCCGTACTATAAATATTCGATCCTTTAATTAGAGCATTTCTCGTACATTGTTTCTGGTCGTCTACAAAATTTCAACGATATAACGTATATATGTGCACGTTGGTTTTTCAACCCCCTTTTGCTGTTATTCTTACTATCTTTATTGTAGCTTTTTCCCCAATTTTTTTGAATATTTAACTCTTTTGGTATTACAAGTATATATATTTTTTTAAATAATATATCAAATCAGTTTAAATATTAATTCTGATAACGTCAATGTATCATATTTGTGATAAATTTAACTAAATTTTAATTGAGAAATACATGCATACATATAACGTGGGAAAATATAATTTCGTCAATATACATAGCATAATATTGAGTTTTCTCCTTTTTTTTCCAAGTAATTTATTTTCATAAATTTCATGTAAGTATACACAACATTGGCGATTACGATTTTCTTTTGATGTGATTCATTTTACGGTATACCCATCGTTTATGATTAATCTATAATTTATACATATATCATTGAATGTACATGTCAGAAGTGATATTACAATTTTTATAATTGTAATTTTATGAATTTTATGAAAATTCGACATAATCACACCTTGCACTATAGGTTTTTCCAATTGATTAAAGATTATCGTTTAAATTTCTTTATTATTATACCAAAAGAAATAGAAGCAAGATAAAAACGGTTTTTTACTTTTGATTTGCACAATTGATATTGTACAAGTTTCATTGCTCAAATAAACTTAAAAATCTTACGGATGTTAGTAAATAATAAATTTAAACACATAATACAAGAATCATCCTTGTTACAGAACATAGATTGCTGTCGAAATTCATACAGCAATCTGAAAAATAAGCAAGGGTAACTTTAAACATTACTGAAGAACAGTTCTTGAAAAAGCAACTAATTGAAGAAAGCCAAATTTCCTTTGTTTAAAAATGTTTGTCTCTCTAGTCATGAAGTATAGTTGGTAATTTTTTGGCAGTTTTCTTTCATTTATTTGTTAAACTGTGCCAGGTAATCGTATTTTAATCTGACCAGTCTTATAATCTTTGATAGCAAGAAAAATATGAAATCTGAATCTTAAACGTAATGCAAGGCACAAAAATAAAAATATATATAAGAACAAAACATTTTTAGAAGATACCAACGTAATACCCATGAAATGACTGTAATAACTATGAAATCACAAAATGATGTCTATTTCTAACCCTCGTTAAATGTTCGTAAAGAAATTAATAAAAGAAAAGCAGAATAGTACACAATAATTTATAATCATACAAATTTAAATGATAGCACCTGTTTCCAGGAACAAATTTTATGTGCATTCGATTTTATAGTTACGCTATGTTTTCATCTCACACTTTTCATCACATAATGCACCTTATACAAGGTAAATCGCGTAAATTATTGGAGAACGATATTTTAACCTATTGATTTGCAACATAACGCGATTTATCCTGTACAATCTATTTATCGAACATAATACCAGAAAGGGTATTTAAGTTTTTCTGCAATGCAACATTCTTATACAAGACTATATAATAAGGAAGCTTGGTCATTATTGGACTTGTAATATTCTTCAGTGCTATTTAGAAATGTTACTTAGAATGAAGAATCTATCAAAAAAGGAAAAAATGATTTCGTTTCTAACTATTAAAGAAAAGATGTAGCGATGGACCATATTAATTCCTTTATCATCGCTTACAAAAGGAATTTATATTTTAAATTTTAACAACCTCAGTGACGTGGAAACTTGTTTAATCTACTTTCAAATTTTAGTTTGTTCCCACTACCTCTTCACAGAATGAAAATTTTATTTACAGCCAAACGTAACTTTTGTACGTGTGATATCGTAAGTGAGAGACCGAGATCATTTTCCATTTTCAGAAGAAATATTTAGATTTGTTTTTTAACCGCACGTATTTGCAATTTGAAATGTTCATCATAAAGCGAGCTCTTCCAGTTCTTTTATTAAGTCAGCTTCTTTCTTAATCTTGTCTAGTTGATTGATTTCTAATTGTTTGCCATCTTCTTGTTTTTTCTTCAACTTTGAAATCTGTTCTAATTTCTGTAAGTGAAAAATATAAAAATTAAAAGTACTTAATTTTATTTTTTTTATTAAAACATTAATAATAGTGCTTCTTACGCCTTTAATCTTTTTAATTTTCTTAACCCTCTCAAAATCATCACATTCCGGATTATTTGTAGGTACATTCTGATTTTCAGGAATTGGAGGAACTTGTCCGTTTGTACTGGGATTATCTTGTGATTGAGAAGGCGTAGATCCATCCGATTCCTTTTCATCTTTCTTCGTTTTTTTTTTGGTTTTTGACTGATTAGCTATAACAGAATAATTTAATAAACATATACGTCACATAAAATGTTTATGTCTTACATCTACAATCAGAATCTATATCATACGTTTTTTTTTCTGCTTGCCATATTTATAAAATTCGTCAGAACGTAATTTAAAAATACTAGTTTCCCCTCTGGCGGAAGGTGGTCGATATGCTTGTATTGATGCTAGAAAATTAAAACAAAATTGTAGAAGATATGACCTTAATTAATCTACTTGTTTTATTGTTTTGATAAATATTATAAAGAACTTCTACCTTGTGGCTGGCTAGGGGCAATACCCTCAACAGCTTCGTAACTAACTGGCTTTTCTGGAAATGTTTGTGGTGGAAAAGTTTGCCATAAGACTTCCCAAAGTTGTTCTTGCTTATTCCACGGTCGCTCATATAATAGAGTTCCAGTATAATGCCAGATTTTAAATCTGTATAATAAATTCGTTGTTATATATGAATTAAAATCCAATTATTAATAATGAATGAATATAAAATACTATTTACCCATTGCACACTCGAAGCCTTGGTGCTGTAGTTGCAGTCATAAAATGTTCTCCATCAGGAGACCACTGAAGAAGTGTCGTAACAGGAGCTTCAGTTTTAGCAATTAATTTTCTGTTATCAACATCCCATAGTTCAATACCACCAGGGAGGTTGCCAAACCCAGTTAAAATTAGAAGTGCAAAGTAAGTTGATGCAAACGATTTTCTACGGTTGTTTTTGATACTTGGAGCTCCTGTGCCACTTCCCGTGTTGTGTACCGAGGATTATTTTTTATTTGTTCGTTGTCAATCTCTTGTGGTTGACCAGAGCGTGGTGAATCGTGAAGTGAAAAATCCCCGGAACGAAATCTCGCAACTTTTGGCATGCGCATTCTTCGATGACATTCTCCCTTTTTAAAATAAAACAGTATAATGTGCCGGAAATGCTCCTTTTGGTTTTCCATCTTCCAACTTCCGCCAAACTTACCAATTGAACTGGATTAACAAACTCTTTAGATATAATTTAAGGTTAAGTGTTACCTATCAAATGACTATCTGCTTTAAACAAAGAAACTGAAGTTAGTTGCACTTTGGAACGCCTTTCCTTGGGGATTGTAATAAATACTATTTCGATGCAGTGAACCAAATTCAAATATTGGTTCACACTTAAGATTAAATAACGTGGCTTTGGCTGGCATAAAACCATACACAACACAGAATTCATTATTTTTGGGAGACCACTGCACAGCATGTATAGGACCCTTCTCCCCTGATTTTTGAAAAGGATTAAAAATATTTTGAGGACAAAAAGCATATTATTTTATACTCAAAATAATTAATAAACCACAGCTTACTAAGTGTAACCACAGAAGTATCTCCTTTTGTGCTAAGATAGTGCAAAGTTTGTTTTCCGTAATATGAGGCATCTGTATCATCAACCTCTGTACTGGTCATTAATAAAACATTTATTCCTTGATTATTCCAATAAATATTTACCTTGTCCGCCTGAAGATAAAAATTTTATAATTCTATAAAGTCAAATATATACAAATATTATAGTAATATAATACCTGGAAGAAACTTTTGTTTGCTATAGTTTGTGTGGGTTCAAACTTTGGATATTGGAATAGCTTAGCAAATGAAGGTTGACCAGATTTTCCTATAATATAATAATACTGGTTACAAACAAATAATGAATTGTCTAATATGAATTATGATAGTACAATATATACAAATGTATGATTTAAAAATTTGGTATTTAATGTGGAGAGTATTTATTCATCTTGCAAAGATATATTAAATTTATTACAATTTCGAATCTCGTTTCTGTACTTACGAAATTACGAATATGTTCAATCAAAAAAATAATTACCTGTTAAATGTACTCTATGATTCCCTACAACTTTATGAAAGTACTTACATATAAAAATGAGCATGCAATAATCAGGAAATTTTCCATTTACTGTTGATCCTGATTACTTGTATTCATATTTGTATATTTTGTAAAATACTGTTATGTTTTAATATTCTGTTGTACTTCTTTAAAATATTAAAGTGTTCTATAGAGATTTAATTGTCTTATAATCTTCATTCCATCTGTGCATAACATGCTTGCCACACATATTTGCTTCATAATGAGAGAAACTGAAATAAAAAAGTATTTCATAAAATATACCAATTTTTATGTGACTTATGCTTGAATTAAATTACTAATAAACACTTTATATATTTTAATTAACTAAACAGAATTATCAATTACCATTTTTAAATCATATTATTTATTACATTTAGATTTGTGTGATTTCTCTTAGTTTTCATGAAGCACTCATGTTTATCATATTCACTTTATTAAATAATAGCTAAGAAAATGATATACTCTCCACATATAAGTACCTTGACACAATGTACATGCATTTGTACAATTTAAAGTAAAATGAATACAACAAAATTTAATTACCAGGCATGTAACACAGAATATAATATGAAGCACTACTGGGTGACATATTAAATTTAGCAACTTTTGCTATATTTATTCTGTGTTGAACTTTTTCAAAATTGCCATTCTCATATAAAATGACACCTGCACCAACTAACAGTCCACAGACTTTTTCATCACTTGTCCATTGAGGCTGCCTGAATAGATATCACATAAATGTAGCTACATAATAAACTGTATTTACTTGTTTATGTTCATTTTGAAAAAATGAGCATCTTTTGGTAATAAACATTGTATATAAATTCTTGAAATATGCTATGCAAAATTTAAATATCATGAAGCTTTTAAAATATGAAGTATTCATAACAATTATTTCCTCAATCATATACATATATCAAAGATATTAGAAGAAAAACAAAACAAATAAGAATGGATTATCATATAGTAATTGCTAGATCTCATATGGATTTTAATAAAAAATTGTGTAATACATTACCAATCTGCTTGTTTTTTCTGTGTAAAACTCTTCACTAGTTCTCCAGTCTCTGTCTTCCATATGTTTAAATTTGGTGTTCCTCGAGAATTTGACACTGTAGCTGTAATATATAAATTAATATTATATACACTATTTTACAATTAAAATGTTTACATATATTGAAAATAAAATAGAAGTTAAGATTTAAAACTCTACATTCAATGTGCTAAAAAAAGTTAATAAACAATGAAATAATATCTAAGTGAATTACTAAAATAAAAATGTTAAAAGTCAATAATATAAAATTAATATAATACCAATGAATTGCTCCCATGTCATAAAATATGTGCCTCGAGAGGAGAACTGAATTGCTGAAATTTTGGGCCTTTTGATTTCTGTAACAATTTTCCATGTATTACATTCCAAAATCTTGGTAACCATCCCATTGACCCATGCAAAATAACGTCCCTCTGGACTAAATGCCATTGCTTTACAAGTTTTACTGTCATCCTTAGGAAATGTTTTTACTGGTTCATATGATGGTGGGCCTTGTCCTAAGCTGGTTCCAATGGAACCTCTCACTAAAGAAAAGCAATTATTTAATTTTTTAATTTTTGTTTTATAATTAAAATTCATTATATCTGGATATTCACATGTAGAATTAATTTTAAAGGTAGCAAATTTAAAGATGATGGGTAACTTAATAAATATGAAATTGTGAAGTATTTGATCTGTAAGGTGCATTTAAATAATCTCGAGTTATTTATGAAACCGCTCGAAATTATTATTAAAAAGTATAGTACATACGTATATCTAATTGTAAACACATTTTCATAATGTAATACCATATGATTTATTTTTTTAATCATAAATGTGTCCAGTAATACAATGCCACATGACGCATTTTTAGGCAGTCAGTTATGGTGTATTATGAAACTTAGAAACCATATTATAGACAGACATACATTTTAGACACGCTAATGTAATTCATAAAAAAATACATGTAAAAATTTGATTTTAAATCTAATAGAATATCAACAAAAACAAGACGAAAATACTTACCAGCGATACAAGGAACAGTTAACGCCATTTTACCTCCGTTACCATGTGGTATCGTAATATCGAGTATCGACCACTCTTGCCAGACTGAAGAATTTGTCCCTTGGAAAGGATTTCTTGCACATGCGTCGCCAACATCGTATGCAAGAAACACGTGCACTCAGTACCGTACATACTGGGATATATCTATAAAATTTTTCAAATTATTTATTTAAATTATAAAATAAACGTTAGTA